GCAGCTATTTAACTGTGTAAAGGTCAGAAATAACTGCAAGAATATCTCATATGCCAAAGACATTCTATTTTATTTTCAATATTTATATTTGTGTTTGTGCATTAAAGTTAATACAGATAAAAATATTAAATAATCTGAATAGTGAATAAACTACATAACTCAAATATACTTATGTATAAACATGTAAATTATTTGGAATATCATGCTTGATACATGTTTCTTCACAACCGTAAAGATATTGTTGCCTCCAAAGACACTGAATTCAGAGAAATTTAATAATTGGTTGACAGTTACCAATTCAAACCAGTTAGCAGTTCAGACAATTCCATCCCAGGATTCTTGGTTGATGAAGTACAGAGTTGCATTCCTCCAGCAATAGTTCTGCATTTCATGGTATTTCTACACAAAACATTGCTCTTTAGTAAGGACTTGTAAGCCAATGGTTAAGAGTTACCTAATTCTTTTCCCGACTTCTTTATTCCATTTGTTCTATCACATCCCCATTCACTGAGATCTTGTTCCTTTTTCAATCATTATCTTGCTTATCTTTGAATGTCAAATCACAAGAAAAATGTTTTAAAAATAGGTTTTAAAATTATCCCAATTCTGCCCTGTTCTCTCTCCCTGGGGCTGCAAATGTACATAGCATTTAAACTAAATTCTCATTCACTGAGTCTCTACTCCACCCTGTGCCCTTTTGCATCATGTCACTTTTCATGAACCAGACCGCAAGCCATCACTCCTATATTCCAGAATACAATGGCTCCTAGCTGTTGTTTAAGAGACACAAACTTTGCTAAGGTTTAATGCCCTATTTTACTTCTTCAACTCTAACTTCTTATAACAGGCTCTTTGCTGTTTTACCTGTCGTGTTAAGATCCAGCCAAGCAGCCCTGTGCCCTTCACTATTCCTAGTGTATCCTATATGCCTTTCCAAATGTCAGTTGATACCTGAGTTCTTAGAATTCCAAGTCTTTATTTTTTAACTAACAATTCCCTATCCTTAAAGTCTTTTTTTCTTTTTTTATTTAAATTAGAAACAAGCTTGTTTTACATGTCAATCCCAGTTCCCTCTCCCTCCCCTCCTACCCTGTACCCCACCAACCACCTATACCATTCCCTTTCTGCTCCCCAGGAAGGGTGAGGCCTTCCATGGGGATCTTCAAAGTCTATCATATCATTTGGGGCAGGGCCTAGGCCCTCCCCCATGGGTCTAGACTGAGAGAGTGTCCCTCTATATGGAATGGGATCCCAAAGTCCATTCCTATATTAGGGATAAATACTGATCCATTACCAGAGGCCCCATAGATTGCCCAGGTCTATCCTTAAAATCTTACATCAATTATTTTCTGTTTTTAACAAAATTTTAGCCACATTATCTAATACCTGACTGAATGGAATCCCCACTGGAATTATACCCTACACTGCATTTTAGGTACTTGGTAATTCTGGTAGCCTCCTGTCCCATGGTTAGCCAAAGCACAGCCCCAGCTTCTCAACCACCTCAACAGTAGAGAGACTACCAAACACACAGTACATTATGTTACTTAAATTGAAATCAGTAGTTATTCCCAATTGTGAACACTACTAAAAAATGCCAAAGATGTCAGATTGCCCTGGAGCTTGAGTTACAAAATGTTGTGAGCCACTTGCCATGGGTTCTGAGTATTGAACTTGGTTCCTCTATAAGAGCAACAAGTGCTCTTAACTATGAGCCACCTCTCTAGCCTCTTATTTTATTTTTATTATGTTTATTTGGGTAGTTCTGCACCCATGAGAGCAACACTGAACTATCTATCATATATAAATGTATAACCATATATATCATATATATGTATATATATGATAACATGTGTGTGTGTGTGTGTGTGTGTGTGTGTGTGTGTGTGTGTGTTATTCAAGACAGGGTTTCTCTGTGTAGCTCTGGAAATTCTGGAACTCAGTCTGTAGATCAGACTAGCCTCAGAACTAACAAAGATCCACCTGTCTTTGCCTCCTGAGTGCTGGGATTAAAAGCATGTGCCACATACCTTTCATTTTCAGTGACACATTTCAAAAGCAACTCAAAAAACTTTTTAGCAAACTAATGTTTTATTTGAAGTATGTCATTGTTGTGCATGGGTTTTACCCAGGGATGCTTTAGAAATACCAAGCTAAAGTTTGTTTTCATGCAAAGAAACACACTGCTGTTCTCACAGATACAATTTACCAAAATTAGTTTACCCCACAATAAACCATCACATCCCCAGGAACTGTATGCTAGCCAGAGCTGTATGCTGAAGAAGTGAGACATAGATTCAGGTGCCGCTGGCAAAAACATACTTGTGGTAGTGTGGACATTTTTCAACCAGCTTAAATTAAAATAAGTACAGCTCTTATGATTCACAGTGTAAGAATCCTAACTGACTACACTTTAAAAGGGCACAGTGTGTATAATGCAGATGTCTTGAGGCTAGGCCAAAATTGCTATCCTTGCTTGACCTTTGGAGCCTCAAACTCGTAACAGGCCCCAACTACAAGAAGGGAATAAAACTGATTTCACAGCCACAAATGCACAACAACCGTAAGGCCAGGCTACCTGCTTATCTTTCTACCCATCCACCCATACACCTATGCATAACAATGTCACACATATCAGTGCATTCGTATGCATCGAGCACTCGCTTCATTTCAGATACCACCTGGATACTTTACACATGTTAATCCTCACTATTCTATAACACTGTTACTGTTAAGATGTCCATTTGGGGGCTGGAGAAATGAATCTGTAGTTGAAAGCAATTGTTACTCTTGCAGAGGACCTGGGTTGGTCCCCAATGCCCACAACCATCTATAACTGCAGTTCCAGGGGATTGAACACCTGTCTCTGAGATGTACAGGAACCAGGCACACATATAGTACACATGGATACATGCAGGGAAAAATTCATATTCATAAAATAAAATGAATCATTTTTTAAAAGATTTTTATTTTCAGATAAAAAATGAAGGCTTAGGTGTTTAAGTAACTGAGTTCAAATAGTCAGATGGACTAGGATATGAAATCTGAAATTTTCTGACAGATTCTATGCCCCAAATAGTTTGTGGTGTACGAGGGCAGGATTTGTTTCCTTTAAAATGGAAAGGAAGTCTCTGACAATTACTGTATTTCCACAAAGGACTTCCAGAGGTTTGTCAAGGCAAATGTCAGATGGATTCACAAAACAAACAAAAACAAAATCAAAAATCATCTTGCTGTATTTTCACAGTAGTTGTGAAATTGAAACCAGGATGGAGAAACCAAATCTGAATCACATAACAGGAAGGTGAGCTGGCAAGGCAGCTTTGAGCTCCCTGTGAGGATTCCTTCTGGGCCTGGCAAAAGTGTTCACAGTAGTGTTAGGGGCAGATAGCGAAGAAGACCCTGAAGGGAAATTTCAGTGGCCACCCCTCAATGTACATCCTTCTGCAAATGAAGGAGTCAGAAGGGCATGAGTATTCCACTCACCTGTGAACAGACATACATTTTGCCCTCTATAGAAAGGCACAAAAACCTTGTGACTTGGTCCAGCATTTAGATTCAAGAAGGAAGGAATCCAGTGACTAAGATGTTATAAGTAAACAACCAGTCCCTCCAAGGAAGGAGAAAGGACTCCAAAGCCCACAGCATCACAAAGCCAGACTCACAGCAAGGCACCAGTCAAGACCCTTTGTAGGAAAGCTTATGGGTGGCACTCAGCCATCATCGCTAGATGTACTAGCTAAAGGCTGCAGCTCACCACTTTATTTTCTAATCAACAAGAACACTAAAAACCCTGCAAATTTTGCTCAAAACCCATACCATTGTGAAGGTCTTGCCAGAGAGACTGGGTGATACTGAATTTGGAATGAAATAGCAGATAAAACATTGCTTTCATTCCAAGGAGCTAACCCTGATAATTCAGGCTTGAAACTAATGCAGTTAAAAATAACAAGGGCTGACTCAGGGTCCTCAAGAGGCTTCACAAACAAACCACCTGTGCCCCTCTGAGTTACCTCTAGGATTATTTTTTCCATAGCACACAATCTAAATATTAGAGCTGTCATGATGGACTCTTGGGCCCAGATCCTAAGGAAAAACATTGTTGTTATAAGTTTGGTTTTTATCTCTCAATGTTATTGTTGGACGTCTTGGTCTTAGCAGCCTCCAGGGTAAAATAACTTGCTTTGTTTTCCTACTGATCGGCCAAACCCTGCTTGGCACACACCATGTTGGCTTTTGTTAGTGGAGTTCCTGCATTGGTCACAGTAAATTAACTGAGGCTCCTGCCCACCAGTAAAAGACACAGTTCCATGAAATTGTTAAAGAAGTTAAAGTTTCTGACCCTTCCCCATATCAGAGCTTGAGTTATGCTTTCAAGTGTGCAAGGGAAACAAACGTACTTTCACTCCACCCTTAGGAGAAAGCACATTTCACTGAAGCTCACAGTTTCAAGCAGTTAAAACGAAAGGCTTCCCGGTAAATATCTGCCTTTTCATTCCTTTCTGTGCGGTGATTTTAAATATGTACCTCTTCCTATGGAGAATCCCCTGCGAGTAAAAAGGGAAATTCAGACTGGAAGATACTGCCTCCTTGATGTTTGAAGAAAATAGCACTCTTTCGTATTTCCTATAAAATGAGGATCATAATATTCAAGTATGATGATTGACATGTCCGATAGGGACCAGGGAGACCTTCAAGGTAACTTCATTTGTGAGGCTCTGAAGAATCTAGCTCATGGTGAGGAGCCACAGAAGAGGCAAGTGAAATGTATAATGAGGTCAATATATATTTATATATATATATATATATATATATATATATATATATATTACATATATGTTTATAATTGCCACTTAAGTGAGGTCCAATGAAGAGGAGAAATACTATAATAAATAATGCTGAAGTTGCACAGAGGCATAGCCTCCTCTGATTGCAATTACTTAACTCAGTGCCTGATTGGAGGCAGGTGACTACCAAGAGCAGCAGCTCCTGTGCCTTACCTGCGCAGGTTTTCCCGTCGTAGTTCTCGCACACCCACTCGTGGCACTCACACAATGGTCCGAAATAGGTGCCAGGTTCGGTCACTTGACAGATGCAGACCCCGCACTCACACCGGCCACGGTCATGGCACAGCGCGCCCCCTGGGGGTTGCCCTGGTGCACGACATCTGCGCTCCGACTCGGCTCTGGACAGCCTGCAGGGGGCGCCGGACAAGCTTCTGCAAAAGATAAGAAAGGCCACAGCCAGGCCATGTCAGACACAGGTCCCGCCCCTTCTTCTCCCAGCCCACTCTCCCCCTCCACTCTGTGGAAAAGAGGCCTCCTGGCCTCATTTTTCTGCCGGCCAAGCATGCCTCTAAAGGGCTGTGTTTTAACCATGACTTGAAATAGCACCTTCCAAGTAGACAGAGGCTATGGCCCCTTGCTCCTTGGTGGATTGCCACTTCATCTTAAATGCACATTTTGATTAAATGCAAATTAGTCTGAAGTTTGATACTCAGCTGGTTTTTTGATCCTTTTTAAAAAATGGCTCGTTGTTATCTGATAGCTCGAGAAGAGATGAATGATGAATGTGTAGAAAAAGTTTTATGTATCATGTATAAGATAGGAAGAAATGCTTTTAAAATGTGTTTGAAGCAGACCTAAAACTTTACCTTTAAAAAGAAAAAAGTCGAAATGGAACTCGTTGTCTACTTCAAAATGCAACACAAGGTGTGGCATGGCCATCAGGCATATTAGAAAGCGCTATATTAGAAACAAAGCTGCCATACAGTCTGGGGTGACACAGATAAGCATAAGAAAATCTTTGACTTTAGGTAAAATAAATCTACCCCCCCTTACACGTATTTGCAGAGGGAGAAATGATGTTCTATTCAATGAGCATTTTTTTTTTTCCAAATGAAAAGTGAAAGAACAGATATGAAGGCTAGATAGAAGGGGAGAAAAAGGAGAACAGGTTGAAAACAGTTTATCCCAGGTCTGATTTAGTAACTGCTCTTGGCTCAGGCCGGTCAATCATTTGCAAGCCTGAGTTCTGCCACGTACAGCACAGCAGGTCTGTCTCAAAGAATAATAAACCAAACTTACCTCAGAGATGGCGAGAAGCTTTGAGGAACAGCTGACAGCCCAAGGAAGAGAAGGGAGGATACCAACAACAAGAAGTTCCTGACGCCTGGAGGATGCATGCTGAGCTGAGGGGATGTGCAGGCAGGAGGGCAGGGCCAGCTGCTCTGCCTGCCACAAGGTGGGGCTTCCACGGGAGGCACCAGCAGATGTCCAGGCAGAAGGACTTGGGACACCGAACTCGCAGGTTCTGGGCTCCTCCTGGAGGCTCAGTTGCCTGCAAGGACTTGGGCAGTGGAACCGCTCTGGGCGGGGTGCTAGTGCCAAACTCCTCCAGTGGAGAGTCTAGGCAAGGAAGTAATTAGAAACAGTTGTACAAGCAGATGGTTTATTTTGACATTTAAAAAAAAAAAAGTGTCCTGTTCACAGATTTGGGGGGAAAAAATCACGTCTTTCTTCATGAACAGGCCCCAGAAATATTTAACAAGAGGATATTTGGGATAGTTGATAGGAAAGGCACTGTTAAAATAATTCCCGAATTGTGATAATGACAAAGAGGACTCTGAGTGAACACAGCAGGGAATCACTTTCACCAGCTTTATAAAAGATGCCCAAGGGTGGCATGAGAGATTCTGGGAACAAAGCTAGCAAACACAATTATGTGTATTTATTAAGCTTTGTTTTGAACCATGGGTGTTTTATTCCTTCAGTATCTAAAAAGTGCTTTTTCTTCCAGTTATTCAAGCCAGTTTCTTATCACAGACACATTTTTTTTTTGTTACTTGTACAGTCCAAATTAAGGTTGTTCCAAATCTACTCCATTCTTTCCTGTGATTTCAGTATGCAGAAACAAAATATCTATTTACAATGTGATTTGCATTAAAGAGAAAACAGTCAGTGGCATTTCTTAGTCACCTACTCAGTGCCAGGCTCTAATATTAATTCTGATTGTGAGAATAATCACACATTGTTTTCTAATTACACTTCTATCAGACACCAGTGTCTGTGCCAGATGAAGGAAATATATACAGGGAAAAGGGGACACACTCCTTTCTGGGAAGACAGAGGACCAATCAAAACAAAAACATCAATGTCAGGGATTGCAATGGAAAGTTACTTCCTGATTAGATACAGGTGCCAATCACATCTGAGAGGGCAAGAGTTGAACTGAAGGCTGAAGGAAGAACTAACCTCGATAATAACATTGGAGTGGGATAGACTAGAGATGTAATTTTATTTTATTCCTACTTTAAAAAAATTAAAAGACAAGATCAAAGAAATTAATTGACTCACTGAAACTCACAGGGAAGTTACAGTGGTATTTCAGCTGAAAACTGTGGGCCCTCAATGGTTCACACTGGGTCTCCAGTTGGGAGAGTCCGCAGATAGAGGAAAGTCTTCATTTACCCTATAAAGAGCCCGCAATGTGTAACGGCTTCTCCTGATGCTGATGGTCCCTAGAATCATCCATGGCTTTGTAAACCTTAAGGTTAGGCATAAACTACATGTTAGAATTTCCCCTGGCATCTATATAGGTGGATAAAAGGACAACACATCCCAACAGCTTGCTGGAGAAAGAAGGATAGGAATGCCCTTGAATGCCTTTTCTATTTCTCCCTCTGCTTGCATATCTACCAACAGAAGCTTTGCATGGATGTCTGCAAACAGCTGACCTTTGTCAGTCCTTAGGCTCATCAGGGGACAGACTTGGAATAGATGTACACTACAGGGAATGGTATTGGAGGCTTTCTGAGGAGAGATTTCTGAGATATCGGTACCATAGTGTGACACAGGAAGAAAGGCCTGGTTTCCAGGCTGGCAGGTTTCCTGGAAACCTGCTCATCCTGTACAGAGGTGTTTGTTTGAAATAGAGGCTCATGTGAGTTTAGTGGTTGAGAAACAGAATGGGAATCTGGTTTGGAAGTGTGCCCATAGAGCAGCACCACCACCACCACTGGAGAACTTACTAGAATTGTGCATCTTCAGGCTTCTTCATCAAACTTACTGAAACAGTATGTTTCAGTGGTACACCAAGAAATCTGCTTTCACAAAATAAGTAGAGAAGCCTTGCAAAGCATAGGACCCAAGGCTGAGCTCAAAGGTGTCTGGATATAGGAGTGGTCTTTTCAAGATTTACCATTGCATTCCTTCCCATAACACAATGGAGACATGTGGATAGCAAACATCAAAGAAACCTTGGTGATGAAGGGAACATGAAAATAGTAGAAGATAAGCTTCGATCCCCAAAGCCTGAATAGGAAATTGCAGTGAAAACACAAAGCTTTAATGTTAATCATGTATTATTTACCTTTTTTGATCTTTTTTTTATGAGGGAAAAAAAGATGTGTTACAGAATTCTCTCTCCCTCTCTCTCTCTCTCT